ATTTACGCCACACGGAGGAAGCAAAGCGTGGCGCACAAATCTGGGAGACAATTCTTTGGGATGAACGTGAAAGGGATCAGGAAAAGTTCAAAGGATGATGCAAAGGAAGGATAAAATCTCGATGGGCGTGAACTTTGGAGTTTTGGCAAGGAGTTTCACGAATTGATCTTTATGGGCGCCAAGAATTTGCTTGCGAGAGTGCAGCTGACACTATAAACACAATTCAACGATGGAAGATGCCATGGTCCACCTCCTGGCGATGTTCTCTGGTATGATTCGAGTAGCCTGGGCACCTACTTCACTTGGGAAGGAGACATCTCAGATTAAATTTCGCGCGGAGTAAAGTTGAAAGATGATGGAGGCAAGTCTCGATAATCCAGGGTTTTTGAGACGTTTCCATGGGTGGGTATTCACGGATGAGGGTTGACTTGGGGTGAAGAAAAAGCCGCCATAACTTCGCAGTGGTACCTGCAAATGAAATCCGAGGCTGGAGTACTCTTGTAAATTGAGTCATCTTTTCTATACTTCTCAAATATTGCGTAATAGCGAGATAGCTGCAAACGCAATTAAAATCTGATCAAAAAAAAGCCCAAGCCTCGTCGCCAAATTTAGGAGTGACGACGTTGCCTCGGCCACCACGCCACCCGTGCCTGCTCCCGCGCTCCAGCCTGTTGGAACTACAGTTCAACAATGCACTCCGCCGCGGAGTGCAAAGCTAACACCAAGTGTCGTAACTGTGGTGGTCCTCACCATTCGAATGGTTGAGACCGCTTGGCTCGACCGACCGGAGCGGGCCCGATAACCAAGGAGAGAATGGGGTTCATTTGAAAGACCAGCCAACGAGAGCTCGCTACAGTTGCCCAAGCGAAGGCTGATGGAAGGAAGGCCGAGGCAGATTGACTTCCTACCTACAAAGCTACGATGATTTCGCGGAGGGGGACTAGACTTTGAGGCCATGAATCCCGAGCTACAGGCGTGAGGTGCTAGGAGCACCTGCAAGAAGTCAGTAATGACTTTAAAAATTCTTGAAGAGGGAGCGACAATTGCGGAGGAAAGTCGTCAACTCATCTCCAGCTCTCAGCTGAGATTGAGCAATTTTGTCGTTAGGGAGATGCGATAGACGAGAGAATGTGTGAGGAATACATTGGCTGAGTCCTAGTTGAGAGAACCTTTTTTTCTCTCTTTCTTCGATCTGTCTTGGCTTTTGGTTTGAATTGGCTACAATTTGTGTTGCGGTTCGCGTGGTGGGAACAAGCTGGGCATGTCATGGATTTGATGTTGGCTGTGAACACCGGCCTTTGACCCTTACGGTATGCAGGAATAATATAGGATCTAAAAATAAATATAAAAATGAGCGGTGCTACGTATTCATGTTGGATGACTCTCATGACGATTGAGACTCTCATATTCTGGATTTCATTTGCAAAAATCACAATGAGGTATTTTTGCTGACACAAACAGTCAACTCTCCTCCGTAAAAACCCACCAAAGGTAATTTCAAACCCTTTCATCATCTAAGCATGCCCTCGTCATCCATAAACACCAGCGCCGCGAGAAAAGTGGTTGTGTTTTACCAGATTCGAACCAGCGGTCTCTTGTCTCGATCGGGATATGTATCCGAGCTATTCAGAATCTACTTGGGAGACTGGCCCGATGATGTGCCACCGCACCATCCAACCAAGACGGTGTTTACAGTGTTGCTTGCACTCTATCAGGCGAAGTCTTCCTTTCATTAATTCAATGTTCTAGTTTAACGTCCTGTTTGGCTTCTATATACAGATCCATGAAGACGGTAAGCCGCTCTGGCAAGGGAAAAAGCTTTCAACAAACAAAACCCGATGTCCTGCCCCTCTGAACCGACCCAGCTTAATGTTGAGGACGTTTCTTTCAACCACAAATTTATAAACTTTCCTCGAAATTCTAAAACTCCTCCTTCGATCAAACTAACGTTATGAAAAATTAAATAAAGAATAAGGCGCCTCCTCACTCGGCGTTGGTCGTCAAAGTGTTCGAAGAGTTGGCCCCGATGGTGTTGCTGTTGTGGCGGGGATTGTTGGTGCCACTGGGGCTTCGACTACCTTACGTGGTCGTCCCGGCCCTCGTTTGAGTCCTTCAGCCTTCTTACTGGTGACCAAAGTGAATCCCTGATCATTAGTCGTTCCGACTGTTCGCATTGGCGCCATTGTTGGTTTTTCATTCCATATTTCAGCCGTTCTCGATAGCAGCTCCATCCGAGCCTTCTCCACACTTCCCTTGTAGACCTGGTAGGTCCGACACGCTGCTTTTTGCGATGAACGGTGTTCCTTGCCGCAGTTCGCATAAGAAACCCTTTTCTTCGGACAGTCCCGAGTTTGGCGAACGCCTGCACATTCACCGCACCTGGCTGCCTTTCCACACGACGCCTGCGTGTGTCCCCACTGACTGCAGTTGTAACACTGCTTTGGCTGTGACCACACCTGCGCGGTGTAGAGCATGGCGTTCATAACTAGGCCGTTTCGGACCACTTCCGTCTACATTGCCTCCGATGGGAGGCTGACCACAATTGATCCACGAGTGCGGCCATTTTTCTTTGACCGCTGGTGTTCCTTTCCGTCGTGTAACCACCTTATACGACTTATCAATAAGCCTGGAATCCGTGCCTTTGTAGCCGTCTCTATCTCCCTGATGATGGCAAAATTGTTTGCATCTCTGCCCCCTTCAATTCGTGTCCGTAATGGGACACCGTCGACCTCGACTGGGAAATCTTGCCGTATAATTTTGAAATCCGTTGATTGTCGCATGTTTAGCACCACGTCTCTCTGGGACGCCGACTGGACAAATACCTCAGTGTCGTTGCTTCGCATTTGGCGAATCGCGTATGCGCCTTGTATGTGTTGTTGTGTCTTAGTTGGCAGCTCTTGTGGCTGCAAGTTTTGTGCGCCGTCGATTCTTATTCTGACCGCCGTCTTCGCCATTTGCGGAGCTACGACCGACGCGTAGGTCCTTGGTAGCGGCTTCCCTGACGACACAACAGGAGCTTCTTGTCGGGCGGCGCCCGCGATGCTTTTTTTTACCACCTCCTCCAACGCTATCATCCTCTCCTCAATCGGAGATGGGATCTAGAACATCGTTGTCCAAGGCTTCTTGTGATAATTGAATGCCTTGACGGCTTCATTTACGTCTTCCATCGTTGGTAGGTCTTCCTCATCCTTCTCTCTCATCACTATTAGTCTAACCTTTTTTAATAGCTTCCTTATTATTTCCAAGTTAGGATCATTTGAAGCTATCTGCGCTCCGCTGCTGTTGTTTGTTGGGGCCGTTGTCGCATTTTGCGACGCGTCGAAACGGCTGGATTTACCCACACTCGCCATGTTAAAGCACGGAAAGCGAAAAGATGTGAGGAGGGTCAAGAAGATGTAAAAAAAATGATCACAATGTCAAATTGATGGTACGGGTGGCGTGGAGCGCTGCGCAGCTTTCTGGCAAAAAAAATTGAAATTTCCTTTGTTTATTTTAGGCGAAGTATTGTCGCGCACAATGCTCAATTTGAATAACTTTGTTCGAAATTTTCAAATCTCACGCCCGTCAAGATTATATCCATCCTCTGCAATATCTTGTGAATTTATTCTTACTTCTCACACGTCTGTCACTAAGAACTGTACCCTGAATTTGTGCGCCACAAAATTTGTCCTCCTACGGGTATTTGTATTGTCGTGGGCGTATATTTGGTGAGCAGCTGAGGCCTGAGGACAGTGGATGAGAAGTGTGGTCGATTACATGAGGATATACTAGTAATAAGAATCCATATATTTCCTATTTTAGTTTCCAACTATGTAGAACAGACTATTTGAATGGCACTTTTATGTTTCATTCTAATTGGGGTTTTCCTTCATTTGATGGTGGGATCCCCATTACTAGCTCACCAGGTGGAGATGATGTACTAAGTCGTGCCTGTAAACTTGATGAGGTGTTGGTGGGGATCGAGCTCGTTTGGAGTGAAATATTGATTTGGCTGGGAGTAGTTAATCATCGCCTCGTAGGCCAACTTCTTTGGAATTGCGAAATCTGATTGAACTCGGCTCTGGGAGGATAATTCACTCCTAGGCTCGTAGAGAACACCACGTGCAGGGATACAGTGCTTGCCCTCCTCATAGTGGACTCATGTGTGCATCTATGGGAGAAATACCCATTAGTATCTTTTTTTTTTTGCATCAGGTCCACATTAGTATCATGTGTCTGTCAAACTCAGTAATAATCAGCGACCTCTCATCGACGATGGTGAGCCAAGGTACACTGCAGTACGTAAACATCCAAACGTATATGCAACATTGGGTGTGGTTAGCGCACTCGAGACATCTGTGTGGAGAGGGTCGATCTTGTCGGACACCCCAGACGAAACAGATAACGAGTGAGTCCCAAAGGCGAGAGTTGAAATTTTCAATATAACACCGCTAACATCATCCCATAAATCTGCTTCCCCGATTTGTGCGTCAGGATTTATGTCGTCCTGCGTGTATTCATGTGGCCGTGGTCGTGTATCCGGAGCCAGAGATTGATGTGACAAGAAATGCAGCCAGTGATGCCAGGGCGCATTTGTACAGGTGAAGAGATTTTGGTCGAACATGATTTGGTTGGAAATCTTGAATCATTGCGCCTTGGGCCAGTACCTCTGCGATGCGAAGATTGATTGAATTCTTCAACGGAATAATATTTTATACCCAGGTTCGGAGGAGATGCTACTCACAGGCTTTTAGTATTGGTCTTCATACATTTGTTTTATGGCAGTGGAGTAGCACCTCCTAAACCCCCAAAAGCAATATCCGGGCTCGAAGTGATGAGATAATCATGCTACTTAGGGCTCACTCAAGAATCCGAGCCTGACGACCCAGTACATTCTCATTTGACTCGACCAAATTTTGAAAAAGAATTTATTAATACATACGCAACCAACTAATCTAACAAGACAAACTACCCCTGAAAAATCCGGTCTACAAATTGAAGCTATTAAATGTCCTTTACTCTCAAGCTATGAAACTTCTAGCAATCTTCCACTTCTGAACTGGCAGATCCATGGGAACGATTTTTCTCTTATCAAAAGATAGTATTGGCCTGACACGACCGTCACTAATTACCCGGGTAGTAGGGCGATCAGCGGGAAGTCTGTCTCTATCGCTAGTAATACGCATAGTTTCTGGAGGAGCAGTACCACTGCCGGAGATCCCTTCGTCTGATGGTGGGGTTGCGGCAGAATCACCAATGTTCTCGATAACCTCCGCATCGACCAACTGCACAGGCAGAGATTTTCCAATTACCGTAGGTGTGGCAATATTGTCACATCGAATTGTGCACACATTATCGGTATCATTCATGTTTCCGAGGCAGCTCTGATCTGCCGGGATCTGGGCAGAAAGGGACTAAAATAATTGAATTAGCCTAGTTTTTGAATCAAGTTCAGCTTTTGTACGTACGACTTCGGTCTGGTCGCTCGTTACGTCTTTGTTGATAGAGTTAACGGTAACGTCCATGTTAACCCAACTACCTGAGTTATCGACCATGGAATCAATCATGCACGTAAAGGGACCAGCTTTATCTGCAGTGGCTTTTAGACTAAGGGTGACCAGCCCACCAGCTGCTATCATGGGAAATCCAGGGGATTCGGCGACAGACTCAGACATTTGCTCACTGTCCTCATCGGGAACAGCACCGTCATTACCGGAAGGAGCAGCGTCTTCGTTGTTTGTGTTGTTGGCCATGTCATTCATTTCGGTCGTGTCAGACATTTCAGCCATGTCAGCCATGTCGGTCATTTCGGCGGGTGGGTTAGATCCATCAACTGTAGCTTCTTTAGTTATATATCAAGGCAAAAAATATTGGCCAGGTAGAATACATACGGCTTTCTAAACCAGCGCTTCCATCTACGTCTCTTATAACCTTAGTCATAGCGACGTGACCGGAAACTATTTGGGCGACTGCAAAGCCGGCGAGGATTAATGGAAAATACATTTGTTAAATTAGGGAAGGAGATATGTCCAGCAAGAAGATTATAAAGTAGAAGATTAATAAATGCAGTAATTAAGGAAATTAAATAACAATGAATTCAATAGGTATCTAGCATGAGGAAGTTGCCTTGATGAGATGAAGAATTGGAGAGGGAAATGGCTTTGTTTAATAGTCAAATCTCCCCGCCTTCAAAGCATGGAAAAGAATAGGAACCAGCTAGAAGACCTCGATGAATAGCCAGACATTTGGTTTGAAGCTCATGAGCATCTCTGTTGTTTCGTAGCCCTCGTTCAACATACCAATTGGGGCCGTTTCGCGAGATCACTCTATCAAAGCTTGAGTTTCCTCCCAGTGTGGCGCGGGGGCCAGGTATGAAGTGATATCAGGGGAAAACATCGGAATTATCGGTCAGGTACATGAAATATTGTATATTTTAGTGGGCTTGGCGTGTGTGAGAGAATTGGCGGGAGACAAAGGAGCTATACTCAGAGCATTTACCATGGCCAAATAGAATAGTGCGTCACTTCCATACCGGGCAAGCGCAATCATGTCTAAAAATCGACTGTTGCAAAAGATCTAGCAAGACACTGGGATAGGTGTTTCAAGCACGACATGTCATGCTCGGCTTCCGTATCGATATTGGGCAAAAAGCAGGCTGAGCTTTAGCTGTTAAAGAGCTCATTAGCCTATATTCAATCAGAAGTCGACAGATGGTTTGCTGTTTCAGCGAAGCTGTACATGGTCACTGGGTGCATTAGGTCAGAACTTGACGAATCTAATGTTCCTACGCGCGTCGGCTTTCGAAACGTGTAACTTGACACGCTGGTAGTTACCATGAATTAGTGACGGTACGAGGCAACAAATTGTTGGATATCTTCAGCACTTTCAGAGTTGTGGAAGAGACCTGGCGTTGGCACCCTAATTACCGTGGTAAAAGGAGCCTTGTGCAGTAGATTACGAGAGGTCTCTTCCAGTCACATGAATTGCCAGACCTTCTGTTTTAGCCGAGGCTCTGGCGACTGTTTGAAGAGGACAAGCGGTAAAACATTGAATGTGCAGAGACCCGTCTAACTACATCTCTCTGGCCTGACGTTTAGAAAGGCTGGAGTAGGGCCATTAGCTGAGTTTTAGATTTCATGAGAACTAGCCACGTACACATCGTCTCTCTGTTATTTGGTCCCGAGTGAGACTCATTGCCTCTCTATGGTAGAGAGGGGGATATGCGCCAACCACAAAGCAAGTTCTCGTGCGCTGTAATACTTCCCCGACAGATGGCGGCTATGAGCACTGGCCTTACATAGTCAATTGCCTGTGGCGGATGAAACCCCCTTGGCCTAGTCCGGTCTGTGCTTCTGGAGACGTGAACAGGCGTGATGATAGGGGGATTCCCATGAACAAAGTGCTTGAAGGGACCCACGCTTTGTGCAGTGCCTAGGATGGCACAACCGGCTCGTCCTGGGATTGTACTGGGTACGGAGTTCATTTCTTAAGCGAGGCCGTGAGCAAAATGGTAGAGCCTTCTTCTTACGCGCGCATGGCGCTAGAGATCTGCGTTTGAGTAGATTTTTTTTTTTTGCATCAGATTTTAATTGCGTATGCAGCTATCTAGCTATGACACAATATCAAAGAAAAGTACAGAAAAGATGACTCAATTTACAAGAGGAGCACTCATGCCTCGGATTTCATTTGCAAGTACCACTGCGAAGTTATGGTGGCTTTTTCTTCACCCCAAGTCAACCCTCATCCGTGAATACCCACCCAGGGGAACATCTCAAAAACCCTGAGTTATCCAGACATGCCTCCGTCATCCATCAACTTTTCTCCGCGCGAAATGTAATCTGAGATGTCTCCTTCCCAAGTGGAGTAGGTGCCCAGGCTACTCAAACTATACCGGAGAACACCACCAGGAGGCGGACCACAACACCTTCCATCGTTTGCTTGTTTTTATAGTGTCAGCTGCACTCTCGCAAGCGGAGTCTTGGCGCGCACAAAGCTCAATTCGTAAAACTTTTGCCAAATTTCAAAATTCCACGCCCGTCGAGAATGTATCCCTCTTCTGCATCATCTTGTGAACTTGTCCTGATCCCTCTCACGTCCATCCCAAAGAGCTATCTCCCAGATTTGTGCTCCACGCTTTGCTTCCTCCGTCGGGTATAAATATCGGCGTAGGCGTGTATTTGGTGACCGGCTGAGGCCAGAGAAAGTCGACGAGAGGTGTGGTCATTGAAACAAGGATGTACTAGGTCGTACTTGTAGACTTGATGAAGCTTAGTTGAGAATCGGACTCTTTGGGAGTGAAAGATTGACATGGTGGAGTAATTTGGATTTTTGCCTCGTGGGCCAACTTCTTTGATATTGCGAAATTTGACTGAACTTGGCTCTGGGAGAATATTTCACTCCCAGGTTCGTAGAGGACACCGCGTACAGGTGTTCAGTCTTGCCCTCCCGTTTGAGTAGATGAAACAACTGTGGGACTGGTAATTGTCGCAGTAGCTGATTCGGATGGATGTAGTTTATAGCGCTTATACGGCAACGAGACTTGCCGACGCTAGTTTGATCCATGAGCTTGGGTCAGCAAGCCGCCATTGCGCTAGTAGATTTAGGGTCCGTGCTTGGATTTGGACAGCATGTCAGGCACGCTGTGTGTCCTGGTCGCGTGTTATTATGTTGGAAGTCATTATTATGTTATAGGCGCTATTATGTAATCTTAATTAGAGTTAGCGTCATTAGGAGTTTTCGGTTGGACACGAATCAACCAACTTACATCAGACTCAACGAACTTACCAGGCATTCTGTGATATAGATTACAGGCGTGCTTTTAGTTCAGAGTCTACCGTGAGTACATTTAATAACAGTAAATAGAACGCACAAATAGCTATTTGCGCTGGTACCTCGACTACCATCTTTTAAATTTTACAATCGATAAAATGTCTCCATCCACGACTCGTGCGACATCTGCAAAGGGTTCTTCAGAGACCCAAGCTTTACCTGAACCATCACTGTCGGAAATACTGGCAGAAATAAAAAATATTAGTTTGCAGCAATCGGCTCTGAGCAAAAGAATGGACAATTTGGAATCAGTAGTTAATTCGTTCAAAACTACTCCGACGGAATCATCTTCAGATTCGCAAATCAGCGAGAATGTGAACAAAGATAAGGATGAACCTTCCAAATCAGACTTGAATTTGGATAACGAAATGAAGAGAGGCCCTCTCTCAATTCCAGGTTTGCAGTCGACTTGGAATCCAGCAAGAGGTCCGTTCAGAGCTCCAAAGCGTTCCCCAGGTCCACGAAATGAGTCAAACTTGTTATGCTTATCCGACCCAAATTTAGATAGGGAGGATCGTAAGACTTGGCCGCTGCACAACAGTAACAGTGTATATATACAGTGGCTATGGAAGTACTGGTGCGAACTCGTCGCGGAATCTGATTTGGATGAGTCTACAATGGACGTCAGAAATAGCAACAAACCATTTCATCCTGGTTTAAAACCACTCACAAGAACAAGCGACGTCGAAAACCTCTTGCACCTGCAAGAAATTCAGTCGGCGCTGATACAAGAGGGTACATATTACCATTTATGGCCCCAGAGAGTGTGTCACCTGTTTCAGGGTGATTTCAGGCAAGTCAACTCGTTCTGTAAAACCCATCGACCGACCTGGCCAATGACGGTTGAAGCGATTCTACAGATCCTCTCGTTATCAAATAAGTTGCGAAGTCCTGTTGACGCTTTCATCGCTTTCAGAACTGGCCCATTACAGAAAGAGTCCACTGCTCAATTCCTGAGGCGTTTTGAACAAGCGTTCCTTCGAATTCCGACCAGGGAACGATGCGATAGAGAAGTGGAATATACGATTGAATACACTTTACAAAGTCATGCTGGTATGGTCTGGAATACTCTGGTCCAGCAAAATGATGCGTTTCCCCTACACAACGCTTTGTCAATTGCGTGGACCATTGCTGAAAAATACCAGAACTGGATGGCACAATTGTCTTCACGTCCTCTCGATCGAGAGCCTCTTCCAGTGTTTCAAGATCCTCTCCGAGTGGAAAATGATAATTCACATTTCTCGCCATCACCTGTTTTCAATGATCCGATAGCCTCAGTCAACGCAGCAACACCCCAAACAGTGTGTTACAACTGTGGGAAATTAGGTCATTTCAGTACTGATTGCAAAAGTATTCGAAAGACGGAGAAATACAATCTAAAATCTCCAGCAAACGAGGTTTTTGGTACATTTAGGGCTCGAATTGGCCAACAAGGGAGAGACCATCAACAAAAACAACCAACTATTAATTCCAATAGGATTAATAATCCATACAATAAATCTCCAATGTCTAACAAAAGGCCCCCCCTCCACCACCTCGTCGGTCAAATCATTCCGTTTCTGCATACGCAAATAAATCGGTCCATTTCAAAAACGAAGATTACGAACTCTGGGACTCGGATGAATTTGAAGATTGGGAAACAGTCCCAACTATATCTAATGAGCTTGATGAATCAGCCGATACTAGCAATTGTAACGATAATGAGAACCCTGAATAGGGCATTGGCTGCGGCGCTTTCAATATTGACGCCGTGAGCCTGGATAATCCAACCGTCCTTACTGACGATGAAAATATGTTTCATTCTAAACAAAATATACACCTTAATTCTAAACAATTTCCTTCTATTTCGACATACATTTCTAGGCAAGGCGCTACGGATCATCATCGATTTTTTCCATGTCATATAAACGGAGTTGAAAGTTTTGCATTTCTTGATAGTGGTACTACTAGTTGCTATATTGTTTCTTCTATTGCTTCCACTCTTTCTTCTAATAATTTAATTTTGTCAAAATCGCCAGTACAGCTACAAGTAGTCGCAAAGAAACTAGGACCCGTGGTTAATTACGACTGCACCGTTTCAGTTGATTTTGGACACGTAAATTCATTAAAGCTAGCCTGTGGGGTAGTGCCAGATGGAACATTTCCCGCACCTTTAACGATAGGAAGATCAATTC